AATTCTGTTTAAGTGTCACAAAGATTAAATATTTTGTTTTTTAGTTTAACTCATGGATGGCATTGTGTCTCAGAGCTCTTTTGATCACTGAAAACAATCTCGGACACCTGTGATAATTAGATTGGCCGGTGAGCCCAATGTAAGGAAAAACTACTAAAGGACGGTGTTCCACATTATTAAGCACAGCACCATTTTCAAGCAATATGGGGAAGAAAAAGGATCTCTCTGCTGCCGAAAAGAGTGAAATAGTTCAATGCCTCGAACGAGGTATGAAAACATTCGATATTTCACGAAAACCTAAGCGTGATCATCGCACTATTAAGAGATTTGTGGCTGATTCAGAGCACAGATGGGTTCGTACAGATAAAAGCACATTGAGGAAGATTTCTGCCAGATCCATGCATCGGATCAAGAGAGCAGCTGCTAAAATACCATTACATAGCAGAAAACAGATATTTGAAGCTGCTGGTGCCTCTGGAGTCTTGCAACTGTGCATAAACCTTCTATTCGGTTCGGCCACCACTAACCAATGCTCACAAGCAGAAACGGCTGCATTGGGCAGAAAAATACATGAAGACTAATTTTCAAATGGCCACCCTGTTCCAACAAGGTTGCGATGTCAGCAAGGCGGTGGTGGAGTCATGTTTTGGGCCGGAATCATGGGAACAGAGCTGGTCAGCCCCTTTAGGGTCCTTGAAGGTGTAAAGATGACCTCTGCAAAGTATGTGGAGTTTATGACTGACCACTTTCTTCCCTGGTACAGAAGGAAGAACTATGCTTTCCGTAATAAAATCATCTTCATGCATGACAATGCACCATCTCATGCTGCAGAGAATACCTCTGCATCAATGGCTGCTATGGGGATAAAAGGAGAGAAAGTCATGGTGTGGCCTCCATCCTCCCCTGACCTCAATCCTATTGAGAAACTTTGGAGCATCCTCAAGCAAAAGATCTGAGGGTGGGAGGCAGTTTTCATCCAAACAGCAGCTCTGGGAGGCTATTCTGACATCTTGCAAACAAATTCAAGCAGAAACTTTCCAAAAACTCACAAGTTCAATGGATGCAAGACTTGTGAAGCTGCTATCAAATAAGGGGGTCCTATGTTACAATGTAACGTGACCTGTTAAAATGTTTAAAAAGTTAAAATGTTGTTAAAAGTTTGAAATAGCTTTTGATTTCAGTAAATATGCTGCAAACAAAACAAATGACAAATTTTCAGTTCTTTACAACCTATAAAGTGTTTTGAAACTTACTGTGCATAATAATTTGGAACAGTGCATTGGAAGTTTTTATGTTTAAAAAAAATCCTGTTATCATTAGGAGGTTTGTTCAATAAAATGTGAATTGTACTCTTAATAGTTGATAACATGAGAATTATGCTGACTGTTTAATAATTTGCATCAATTATTTAGGTAAATGAGAAAAATATAATTTGCATAATAATTTGGAACAGGGTGTAGTGCAGCCAGGCAAGAGCCTCCAGAAACAGTGGAGGCTTATTCAGCCTGGTCCATCTCTACATTCAGAGCAGCGCATGCAAAGTGTCTATGAAGACTTTTGCAAAGCAGCAGGCTAGTTACCACAGTGCACTTGCCTCGGGCACTACAGGGAAGATCCAGGGGTTTTATACATCAATGGTCTTCAACAAAATGGTAGTCTAGGCTTCCATGTCCATTGTAATGCAGTTTGATTATACAGTTTTGCCCTCCCTGTTTAGCTATTGATACTTATTGATCACATGTATGCTGCCATGTTGGCATCAGGAAAACGGAAAAATGTATCATACTTACCGTAATTTTCCTTTCCTGACACCAGTCCATGGCAACATACAAACCCTCCTTTGTTTGATCTTGATTCTACAGAGAATGGGGGAGGTTGCTCTCAGTCAGACTTTTATAGGTAGATATACACAGGTCCTGTGGGTGGATATAGGGGCGGAGATATATCACATGTATGCTGCCATGGATTGGTGTCAGGAAAGGAAAATTACGATAAGTATGATACAATTTTCTGTTTTTTATGCATCGGCAATTACAATCATCTTTTTTTACTAGCAACATAAACTCTAAGGGAAGCCATTCTATGGCGGCTGCAAATTTCTTCCACAAAACACAGGTGACATGGCTTTAATGGTATGAACTTGGTTTTGTGGTTTGTCAATGGCCCATTATTGTCCTCATGGTTGACTATAGACTTATATGGTTCCCTTGTAGATGAATAAGTGGAGAACATTTAATAGGGTAGTAGATAGAATCTAATAAATAATCTTGGCATTGCTATATTGTGCTGGATTTACTGTATATCGTATCAAAAACAGTGTTTTATCTTACTCTTGGTTCTCCTTCAGATATTTCAGTATCATCAATGGAACAACAGACAACACTGGACTCCCTGCAGAGGACATTAAATAATCCATCAATTTTTGTAAACTGTTTCTCAACTCAAGAACACAAATGTAATATATTGCAGTTTACTAGTCTTTAGATGTGCTGGCTGAAAGCCCAATTGATTTTCTTTAGACTTTTTTTCCTTTATATTCACTTAGCATACTTCCTCTCCTAGGGTGACAATTTTCATGCACCCTCCTATATCTGTGGAGGAGCAGGACCCTACAACAGGAAGTGTGTTAGGACTACCAAACACCTCTCCATAACATGGGAGAGGGGTTTTGTAGTCCCCAGTAGTGAAGTGGGCAGGGTTGATAACAGTACAGTAACTCATGTGTTCACTCGATTTCTGGCAGGATCAACAGGTATTTTTGAACTTTTGAACAGATGTAACAAAATTATTTTATTGGTATATTTAATAAACCAAAGGGACCATGGTGTCCGTTTATGAACCAGCAGTAATAGATCGCTGCTCAGTTCCCCGGCATTCTCGGAGAACACAGTTCTTCTGTCAATGCCTTTTACGAAGCAGTTCTCCGAACGAAGGGAGAATGGTCTCCAAATGCCGGAGAACGGTCTACAAATGCTGGAAAACGGCTGATTTTACTATAATCTCGTGAGATTACAGTAAAAGATCAGTTTACTAAGCAGAGGTAAATTATCGCTGGTTAGTTTGCGGTTCCTCTGATTCTCCAGCTCTGGGCTGGAGAATCTGGAGGGAGAACACAGATCTCCAGTGAAGGGCTGAACATGTTCTCCGCTGATCTCCTGAGTGTCAAACTGTGAATGACCAGAGAATAGCTGCGATCCTCTGAATCGCAGCTATTCTCTGTGTCATAAACAGACACCCAAATAAGAGAATTCAGTGGAGAGTTTACTGGTACCCATGGGCACAGAATGAACATAAAATGTTGCTATAAATAATAAATACTTGTGAGCTATTATAAATGAGGTCTTCAGTGAATTATAGACAATTAATAAATAATTATCTACTAGTGTCATGCGCTTGGTGCGCTGGCACTCACACAGACTCACTTACTAGTGTTAATACAATAATAAAAATATTAATAGTGCCGCGCTCCTATTGCTATATATATTATAAATTCAATCTACTCTCTTTCCAATGAATATATATATTGAAACCTCAGCAAAATCCATAAATCACTATACTTATTGGGTGAAATATAATATATAATCACTGTGACTGGTGAATCAAAAAAAAATGGTTGTAAAAGAACCTTAATAAATTAGGCTGATCTCAATCAATTAATAGTAACCAATAAATTGAAATTAGAGTGTGTATAAATACTTGGTGCCACTCATCAATCCATCAATATTGTGCAAAAACATATATTAATATTAATGTGCAAGTGCAAACATAATAATTAGAGATGAGCGAATTATTCAAAAGTTCGATTCGGCTGATTCGCCGAATTTGCGGAATAAATTCGATTCGATGCAAATTTATTCGCTGCGAATTTAACTTATTAAAATGGTTTCTAGGCTTCAGAGAGCCTTTATATTAGTGCAGAACACTGTACCTTTAATTTAAATGCCCTTGGAGTCTGCTGGGGAAGAGAAATAATACTTTCAGTCAGTATGACATGCAGATGAGTGCCGTCGATCTTAGAATCACCGCACACTTCAGTCATTTGGGCAGTCACGGGGCACGACGAAGAAGAAGAAGAAGAATGAAAAGAAGAATGAAAAGAAGAAGAATGAAAAGAAGAAGAATGAAAAGAAGAAGAAGGAAAAGAAGAAGAAGAAGAATGAAAAGAAGAAGAATAAGAATGAAAAGAAGAAGAAGAAGAAGAATGAAAAGAAGAAGAAGGAAAAGAAGAAGAAGGAAAAGAAGAAGAAGAAGAAGAATGAAAAGAAGAAGAAGAATAAGAATGAAAAAGAAGAAGAAGAAGAAGAATGAAAAGAAGAAGAAGGAAAAGAAGAAGAATAAGAATGAAAAGAAGAAGAATAAGAATGAAAAGAAGAAGAAGAAGAAGAATGAAAAGAAGAAGAAGAAGAAGAAGAAGAATGAAAAGAAGAAGAAGAAGAAGAATGAAAAGAAGAAGAAGAAGAAGAAGAATGAAAAGAAGAAGAAGAAGAAGAAGAAGAATGAAAAGAAGAAGAAGAAGAAGAATGAAAAGAAGAAGAAGAAGAATGAAAAGAAGAAGAAGAAGAAGAAGGAAAAGAAGAAGAAGAAGAAGAATGAAAAGAAGAAGAAGAAGAAGAATGAAAAGAAGAAGAAGAAGAATGAAAAGAAGAAGAAGAATGAAAAGAAGAATGAAAAGAAGAATGAGAAGAAGAAGAAGAATGAAAAGAAGAATGAAAAGAAGAAGAAGAATGAAAAGAAGAATGAAAAGAAGAAGAAGAATGAAAAGAAGAAGAAGAAGAAGAAGAAGAAGAATGAAAAGAAGAAGAAGAATGAAAAGAAGAATGAAAAGAAGAAGAAGAAGAAGAAGAATGAAAAGAAGAATGAAAAGAAGAATGAACTATATTACTATATCAGTCTCTAATGGATGCTGGAGAGTTAAACCCCCTAACACCTGCTGTGCCCATTATGAGGGGTTCCCACCATCCCTGTGCTGAGGTTCTGGGTATGCACACCTGCTGTGCCCATTATGAGGGGTTCCCACCATCCCTGTGCTGAGGTTTCAGGTCTGCACACCTGCTGCGCCCATTATGAGAAGTTCCCACCATCCCTGTGCTGAGTTCCTGGGTCTGTACACCTGCTCTGCCCATTAGGAGGAGTTCCCACCATCCCTGTGCTAAATTCCTGAGTCTGTACACCTGCTGTTCCCATTATGAGGGGTTTCTACCATCCCTGTGCTGAGGTCCCAGGTCTGCACACCTGCTGCGCCCATTACTAGGGGTTCCCACCATCCCTGTGCTGAGGTTCTGGGGGTATGCACACCTGTTGTGCCCATTATGAGGGGTTCCCACCATCCCTGTGCTGAGGTTCCAGGTCTGCACACCTGCTGCGCCCATTATGAGAAGTTCCCACCATCCCTGTGCTGAGTTCCTGGGTCTGTACACCTGCTCTGCCCATTATGAGGGGTTCCCACCATCCCTGTGCTGAATTCCTGGGTCTGTATGTACACCTGCTGTGTCCATTGTGAGGGATTCCCACCATTCCTGCACTGAGTACCTGAGTCTGTACACCTGCCAAAAGAAAGTTTCAGGATTTTGAAGGAGCAAAATACAGTAATACTGGAACAAAAATGAGCTGCGTGGTGGAGTCGCCAGAAGAAGAAGAAGAATGAAAAGAAGAAGAAGAAGGAAAAGAAGAATGAAAAGAAGAAGAAGAAGAAGAATGAAAAGAAGAATGAAAAGAAGAATGAAAAGAAGAAGAAGAAGAAGAATGAAAAGAAGAAGAAGAAGAAGAATGAAAAGAAGAAGAAGAAGAAGAATGAAAAGAAGAAGAAGAATGAAAAGAAGAAGAATGAAAAGAAGAAGTATTCCAGTACAGCAAAAAGTGTATCTGCAGAGAGCTCCGCTATTTCTGACAGTTCTCTGACAGTTCCTTCACATTTACAGCGGTTGAAACATTGTATCTATTTATTTCAGAATAAAAACATCTGTATCCTAAATGGAAACTAATAGATACAATGTTTCAACCGCTGTAAATGAACTGTCAGAACTGTCAGAAATAGCGGAGCTCTCTGCAGTGACACTTTTGCCGGCTGATCGGGAAAAATTCGATTCGTGCACCCGAAGTTGGCTAAAATTCGGATTCGATGCGAATTGAATTTTTCCCGATATTCGAAACGAATTCCACTTCGCCAGGTTCGATTCGCTCATCTCTAATAATAATACATGAATAAATAAATAAAGAGTCTTTTGAAGTAAGTGCAATGTGCAGGTGAGTTCCTTATTCCCTTTTGCCTCAGGTGCCTTGTGATCTCCCTATGCGCTCACCTTAATATTTGCCCAAATAAATTCAGGCAAATAAACTTTTAATCCTTCCAGGACTGATGGAATAATGCTGATGTATAGGATGTTCCACGAGGTAAGTGTAGATCTATTATGGGTACTCCTGTACTCTCCTCTCTCTCCTTAGGCTGCTGCTCATAGGTGAGTATTTACACCAGCTCTATAGGGATCTCCTTGTTCCCCTCCTGGGGTCACCTCCTTCTCATATCCTCCTTTCTCCAGTGATTTAAAGCCTGTTGTGGGATCTGCTAGCAGGTCAAGTGTAATGGATATCCAAGTCAGAGCTCAGGTGAAGTCATCAGCTATGTGAATGCGGGAGAGTCTGCATAGCTTCATCAGCTATGCAGACTCTCCCGCATTCACATAGCTGATGACTTCACCTGAGCTCTGACTTGGATATCCATTACACTTGACCTGCTAGCAGATCCCACAACAGGCTTTAAATCACTGGAGAAAGGAGGATATGAGAAGGAGGTGACCCCAGGAGGGGAACAAGGAGATCCCTATAGAGCTGGTGTAAATACTCACCTATGAGCAGCAGCCTAAGGAGAGAGAGGAGAGTACAGGAGTACCCATAATAGATCTACACTTACCTCGTGGAACATCCTATACATCAGCATTATTCCATCAGTCCTGGAAGGATTAAAAGTTTATTTGCCTGAATTTATTTGGGCAAATATTAAGGTGAGCGCATAGGGAGATCACAAGGCACCTGAGGCAAAAGGGAATAAGGAACTCACCTGCACATTGCACTTACTTCAAAAGACTCTTTATTTATTCATGTATTATGTTTGCACTTGCACATTAATATATGTTTTTGCACAATATTGATGGATTGATGAGTGGCACCAAGTATTTATACACACTCTAATTTCAATTTATTGGTTACTATTAATTGATTGAGATCAGCCTAATTTATTAAGGTTCTTTAACAACCATTTTTTTTGATTCACCAGTCACAGTGATTATATTTTATATTTCACCCAATAAGTATAGTGATTTATGGATTTTGCTGAGGTTTCAATATATATATTCATTGGAAAGAGAGTAGATTGAATTTATAATATATATAGCAATAGGAGCGCGGCACTATTAATATTTTTATCACAGAATGAACACTTCCTGATTGGCTGTCTGTTCTGCAGATACTCCTTTGCTGACAGATCTCAAAAGAAGGATTAGCTAGATATTTTCAGCCCACTGCTATTATTTTGCCCAGTCAGAAGCCTGCCGTTGGGAATTTCCTCCTGCTCCGCCCCCCCCCCCCCCCCCCCCCCCTTTCTATATGAATAGACATGCATATATGGTTTCTCATAGGGTACATCTTTACTCGAAGAGCCTTCCCAAAATAGATCGTTGAGTCCTTATATAGCAAGGAAATGAATAAAACTCCCAGGAATGCTAATACTAGGCTGCTGCTAGAGGGAGCGCTAATGATTTGTAGTGTGACTTCAGGAGACTAACACAACAATCTCACATTAAACTTGGAATGAACAAGTGAGCAACAAGTGTTTTCTGTTCTCTCTTGTTAAAAGGTTAGTCACACTTGGTTTATGCCATCTTTGTTCAGTTTTGTATTCACTTGCTCTTTTTAGTATCCTTTATGTTAGTAATAGTAACTCTTTAACACATATTGATGCACTTTTCCATGTGGTCTGCACTGCCACTATAAAGAAAATACTTATCTGTATAATGTGATCCATTTCAGTTTGTCACAATAAACTCAGAATGAGCAAGTGAGCACATGTGTTTTCTGTTCTCCTCTTGATACAGATACTGCAGGCTGCATCTTTGTCATACCTTACACTCAGATCACCGATAATCCTGTAACATTTACACTGTGCTACATATCTGACTAGTCTCCAGAGTCCAGAGACAATACATAGCTTTATATACAGTACTTCCCAATAATGCAGGGTCTGGTTTAGAGACATGTTTACCCAAGTCATTTATAGTCATCAGAAGAATCCACTTACCCCATCTAAGACACAGGTACAAGACACAATTTTTCTTCTTGGAAAATGCAGCACCAATCAGCAGTTTATATAGGTAGACTGCCTCCACCACAAACCAATAGTGATTGGCCAGTGCACAGTAATGCATTATCGCTTGTGTCCTACGACATTCAGCAGCAGCCTGTAACATCGAGATTCTATTTTAAGGATAATGCTTACACAGCAGGTTTTAGCAGAAAGCTCAATTAAATGTATAAATTGCTTTGTATAAAATACATTTGTAGCATTTGTAATTAGAAGCAAGCCACCCTACTCACTGGTTGTCATTAGCCATCTACGTAAAGCTGCTGACAAACCCGTAAAGCCGGCATTAACAAAACAATACAGAAAAGCGATGATTTGTGCAATGCAAAATAAATTACTTGAGATTACTTGAATCTGCTTCAAGAGGCAATCTAGCTGGAATACAGTCATATTTCCAGCTACAATATTATTTGTTCCATTTTGCCAAAAATAATACCGTATTTTCCGGCGTATAAGACGACCCCCTACTTTTCCTGTTAAAATATAGGGTTTGAGCTATACTCGCCGTATAAGACTACCCCTCTTCCAACGCACACCAAATAAAATTAAAAAACATCAGATTTGATTTCAATATGGTAGGGTATTCCAATGATGGGGCACGATTCCTCCCACTGACACCAATGATGGGGAACTATTCCTCCCCCTGATACCAATGATGGGGCACGATTCCTCCCACTGACACCAATGATGGGGAACTATTCCTCCCCCTGATACCAATGATGGGGCACTATTCCTCCCACTGACACCAATGATGGTGCCCCATCATTAGTGTCAGTGTGTGAGGAGTAGTGTCCCATCATTGGTGTCAGAGCGAAGAATCGTGCCCCATCATTGGTGTCAGTGGGAGGAATAGTGTCCCATCATTAGTGTCAGTGGGAGGAATAGTGCCCCATCATTGGTGTCAGTGGGAGGAACAGTGCCCCATCATTGGTGTCAGAGTGAGGAATCGTGCCCCATCATTGGTGTCAGTGAGAGGAATCGTGCCCCATCATTGGTGTCAGTGAGAGGAATCGTGCCCCATCATTGGTGTCAGAGCGAAGAATCATGCCCCATCATTGGTGTCCGTGGGAGGAATAGTGCCCCATCATTGGTGTCCGTGGGAGGAATAGTGCCCCATCATTGGTGTCAGTGGGAGGAATCGTGCCCCATCATTGGTGTCAGTGGGAGGAATAGCACCCCATCATTGGTGTCAGAGCAACGAATCATGCCCCATCATTGGTGTCAGTGGGAGGAATAGCGCCCCCTCATTGGTGTCAGTGGGAGGAATAGCGCCCCCTCATTGGTGTCAGTGGGAGGAATAGCGCCCCCTCATTGGTGTCAGTGGGAGGAATAGCGCCCCCTCGTTGGTGTCAGTGGGAGGAATAGCGCCCCATCGTTGGTGTCAGTGGGAGGAATAGCGCCCCATCGTTGGTGTCAGTGGGAGGAATAGCGCCCCATCGTTGGTGTCAGTGGGAGGAATAGTGCCCCATCGTTGGTGTCAGTGGGAGGAATAGTGCCCCATCGTTGGTGTCAGTGGGAGGAATAGTGCCCCATCATTGGTGTCAGTGGGAGGAATAGTGTCCCATCATTGGTATCAGTGGGAGGAATAGTGCTCCATCATTGATGTCAGTGGGGAGAGGAATAGTGCTCCATCATTGATGTCAGTGGGGAGAGGAATAGTGCCCCATCGTTGGTGTCAGTGGGGGGAGGAATAGTGCCCCATCATTGGTGTCAGTGGGAGGAATAGTGCCCCATCGTTGGTGTCAGTGGGAGGAATAGTGCCCCATCGTTGGTGTCAGTGGGAGGAATAATGCCCCATCATTAGTATCAGTGACACCAATGATGGGGCACTATTCCTCCCACTGACACCAATGACACTTGCTGACTCCTGTTCCAGTATGGTGCTGCTGCAGCCAGCATATGTGGTTGCAGCAGCACCTCTGCACTGCACACTTACCGGCTTCTCCCTCACTCGATTTTCGCGGGTCCGCTCGGCTCCGCCTCCTCACCTGTGATTGGCCGCCTGTGTGCCTTTCCTGAGCTACAGTTCTGGCGGCCAATCACTGGTAAGGAGGCGGAGCCGAGCGGCAGGAGTGAGGGAGTGGCCGGAGTGACTGAAGGAGCAGCGCTTCCTGGATGGATCGTTGTAGGAGCCAGGTAA